AGAGAGAGAGAGAGGGAGAGAGAGAGAGAGAGAGAGAATAGTGTGAATTGAATTACATTCTCGAGTTGAGGCTCTCGTATGTCTTTAGGCGTCCAATTGGGAAGCGTTGACAAGTGATTGCTGCGGAGGTGTGAGAGAGACAATGGAGTTAATAGTGGGGTATAAGTGGCGGAGAGGGTGTGTATGGGATGTATACCTGTGGACGAGAGGGATGGGCAGGAAAGCAGTGGTGGTGGAGGTGTCGAGAGCGCAGTCCAACATAATAAGTGTTGACTTGAATTTGATTGCATTGCAAGACTTACTCCCGTTTCCCGATAATGAGATCTATTGGACACACAATTAAGCATACATGCAATTAAGACATTAGTGACTGTATTAATGGTTGTCTTGTCTTTGATGGTCAATACTCACGAATTTCATTGTCTTTCAATCACTTTTAAGACTTGAATGAAATGCCAAAACTTTTTTGTTGAGATAATTGTTATGAAAGTTGCGATCAATTGGTTGTTGTGTTTATTTGCGGTCTGTTTTGCCGACAATAAGGGGTCGTATTGTTAGTGCAAAATGTGTTGACTTTTTTGTATGATTAGGGAATCGATTGTTAAATGCATTGAGTTTTTGGTGAGAAGTTTTGCAATGAATTGTGAAATTAGTTTTAATACTTTAATAATTTATAAGTTATAAAATAGCGATTAATTTGTATTAATAATGTAATCGTTTGTTAGGCAGATGTTAATGTGTTAAGTTTATTTGCACTAAAACTAATTGAAATGCATATACACTGTAATTATATACTTTTTAATTCAGATAACATATTAATTGTTTGGCATTTAAATTTATTGTCAGGCAAATTGGTGAGCATGCTGATTTTATTTAAGTAATTTTATATTATAAGTTAATTTGTTTATTATTATTATGATGCAAGATTACAAACTAGATAATTGTTTGATTTAGTAATAGTTATGATTTAAGTAATTATAAATTCTTTAATTAGCTTTTATTTTGTGAAATAAGGAATTGAAAAATATAATATCTGCATAAAATGATTGTGATAATTAACATAATGGTATGATTGTTAATTATATTATTAAAGTTATAATTCACAGACTAATTGTATATTCGTTTTAAAACGGTAAAAATGATTTAATGTAAATAATAATTTAGACAAATTCAAACATAGTTTAATATTCTTAATGATATATTAAACTATATTAAACTTTATATTCACAAATAATTCTATTAATTATAAAAAGATAAGTAATTAAAATAAAGTCAATTTTGTAGCTAAAAATATTTGCGATTAACTTTTTATCGGGAAAAATAATTTTCTTATATAAAAGCATACAATTTAGTGCCAAAACAAAAGTAGTGATAAGAAACTAAAAGTATAAATTATATTAACCACTGAATCAATCCATAGACACACAAAATCATTTCAAAAAGTAAGATAACAACCATTTTTGCACTCATTTTTATATTTTAACGAATCCTTTCAATGCCTTTATGTCTACAGGAATGGAAAAATTGCAAATGTTTTTTAACTTTAACCTTAAAGAAATTGTCTCAAGTATTGCATCTTTAATTTATGGTATTTTAATATTAATAACTTAGACTTCGGACTGCATTTAGGTGTTATATTCTGTGACAAAGTTGACATAATTTTCCATTATTTCAATAAAATCCAATTTCATTAATATTACAATTCCTTCTCTACTTTCTTTATACACTTTCTCTATTAATAACTTAACTATAAGTAGTTTTAAAATCTTCTAATACAATATAAAACATAATATTTACGCCCAGATATTAAAACCTATGCCTAAATTGAGCATGTTATATTTATCCAATTTTAGAATTGAATCTTGCGTCTAATAAGTGTTAAATATCAACATTAATCTGGATTTTAATTAGTTACCAACATATAATCATTGTAATGACAACTATATATTTGATTGACTAATATAGATGACAATTATACCCAGACTTATCAATCAATTTTCATTAAGTTATATAATTAAATGAATAGTAATCTTAACGACTTATATGTATAAAAGTGTGATTTTGTGGAAATCTAACATTTCATTCTCTGGTATAATACAAAACAAAATACAATTTATTTGATCTTATAGTTAACCTTTAAATACAAAATAATTTTTTTGTGATCGTAAATAAGTGATCGTTAAAAATAGTAAAAAACTACCCAATAATTAGTCTGAAGTTTAGACAAAAATAAAATTCTTTAGGGAATCCAATACAACCACTTGTTTAAGAGTTGTAAACGTGTTAAATATCACAAAATTGTTCACTAAAATTCAATATTTATGATT